CTGCCTATTCTCGCTGATTTTTGTTGGTTCGGACGCGTTTCGGCATTTCTCCTTCTTTAGTGTTCAGTTGATATCTACATTATCAGCTGATCTCCCCAGTCCTTTCCATAAAATACTACAATACATACGCATAACTGGTAGAATAGCTTTTTAGGCTTATTTAGGCATAGGAACCCACACTTTTAACGGGTATCTCAGACAGAAGGACAAAAAGAAAATGAGGGAACTATGGAATTCACTCATTGGACACAGGCAATCCAAGAATCTCCTAACCAATTTTGGAAGGAAAGAAATTACAGAATGTGTCAAAGGAAGCAGGAACAAACTGCGAATCCTAATAGGATTCCTAACAGGACACTGCAAATTAAATGAACTTAAAGAAAATTGGAATAATCCAAGATGGCACATGCAGATTCTGCAAAGAGGCAGAAGAAACACCAACACATCTAGTAACAAACTGCGGAGCTACACTAGCCCGCAGGAGGGAGGAAATGTTTTGGGATGTATAATGTGACCATCGAAGAGCTTCAACCATTGAAACCGAGCCTATTAATCAAGTTTCTTGATGAAATAGGACTCACCAATGTGCTTAGGCAGAGCACTGGGGATACAATAGCTCTTAAAGGGCGCAGTATACTATAGTCTGAGACTATATCTATCTGTAGGCTAATTTAGGCACCTGAAGATGACGAAATTGTCTGAACCAACAAAAATCAGCGAGGATATACAGACCATAATGATAACAATAACTATAAAATTTGTTACCTAGTTTTGCTCTTAACAATGTATTTTATCTCCTCTGGCCTTGCAGAGGGACTTAAGTCTCCAAGGCATCGAAATAAGCGGTAGGATTTCGTCTTGTGGAAGAGATTTCATTTTTCAACAAGAGCAGTTTGATGTAGGCTGGGAACGATGTCTAACCCCGAATCCCACAAGTGTTCTATAGGATTCATGTCAAGAGAATGTGCTGGCCAATTCATTCCCTACATCCTCCAAGTAATGTGACTACCTACATACGGTCAAGCATTAGCACGAAGTTGTCCCTAATAAATAGAGCGAATGGGACCAAAGCATCCAGAAGAATTTACCCAATGTAACTTAGAGCAATCAAAGATACATTCTCTATGATAAAGGACGCATATCATAACTGATTGTCTTTGAAAAGACTTTGACTCATGCATGGCACATTCTCCGTCTTGCTCTTCTGATTGCCACAAACCGACACTCATCTGTGAAGAAACCCCCATTGTTGAAATATTCAAGCGAGATGCTTATTTGCGAATAGTCGTCATTTTACTCGGTGCCTCTCCAGTAGTTGAGAACCTGATGCGGGCCGTCTAGAGACTGGGCTATTCCCATAAAGCCTTCTGATTTTTAGAGCTCACTTTTACGTTACCGTCTATAGTTGACTATCTATCAAGGAATGACAAAATGACAGTAAGAGAGCAATAAAACGTCGACCACTACCTTCTCTCCGATCAAGACCTTCGGTGGCCCTAAACCGCTGTAGACCGCCATGGATGGTAGAGCCCGGCACACCCAGGGCTTTGTAATGGACGCTCATTGGCCAAAGCATCAGGAGATGACTTAAAACCACGCTTTCAAAGAAAAAAAAAATTAATTTTTTATTCAAATTTATTGTTTGATCTAAGAAAACAATTTCAAACACCTATTAACTCACTTGACAAGTTGGCTGTGGTAAGGATGAAATTGAACTGATTTCCTTTATTTTTAATTAAAGAGTGTAAAAGGATTAGTAACACTCAATAAAGGTAAACATGTTATTAATGCAGTGTTTACGTTTTAAGTCAAATATTAATTTATATACCTAGTCATTGTGGAAAATGAACATATAAATACAAGTGTCCGGTTTTTAAATTTTTTTAAAATCTTTGAGTGTAGAAGAAAATCTAAATTCAAAATGACTTGTGTTTATGTTGTTTTACATCTTTTGTATAAAATTCTGAATGGCGTTCTCGATAATTATCAAAACTTAAATTCGACATATCGATTTTTATTTTTTTAACCGCGATTGAATAAATTTCCATTAAAAGTTCTCGAAAGAAAAAATCGCATAAAAGCAGATGTACAAATCATAGAAATGAAATCTGAATGTTAATGATGATCACTTAAAATGATAAGAAAGGTTGAAATTTTGTTTAGCATAGATCGTAGAAAACTCATTTCGCTTTCAATTTGACAAGAAAAATAAATAAAATATTGATTACATCAATAATATTAAGTTTGGTGTGTCCTTTAAAATTGTAAAATTTTAAGGGGTCGCCAGGAGGATTAAAGCTACAAGTTGCTCTCACTGGAATATTTCACGATATTAAGTTAGTGTGGTCACTATCGTGAGATTAGGCATGAAGAAAGAGCCTTGAAAAATTATTGAGTACATCAAAGAGCTTTAGAGGTAGGGCAGCAGTGGCATCCGTCTCCCCTGAAAGGAGGACAAATCAGATTAATTCACTATGCGGGCAAATGGTTTTCTACCGATTGTTGTCTAAAAGTCCGTTTTGACCTTGCGTCAATAGAAAATTACCAACCCCAGAGCAGAGAGGTCGAGAGCCATTGGAGCGAAAGAATTGCTGTCGACCGAGGGGGTGCAAATGGGACAAAATGGATACAGGCAAATTATGCAAAATCGTTCCTTCCACACGTCCGATAGAAACAACACAGGGAGAAACATAAAATTTTTACTTTTTCTGCTTGCAGTATGTGCACGACTGGACTACAGATATCCTTGCAAAAGTCAAACAAACATAAACAGATTTGATCAATTGTAATGGGAAAATCGAGAGAAAAACTCGCGAAACCAGTGGTTAATAAAATGCGACAAACTTATATTGGGTTGTCCGAAAAATAATGCAGGCTTTAATGGTTTCTTTCAATTACCCCGCTATATAATAAACTGTTTAGTTTTGATGGACTATTCTTTTTTACGAATATCAACACTTTTCAGTCCTCTTCCAAACAACAATGTTTATTTACCTCAGTAGCATTTCGTTACTTGAATAATTCAGTCTACTAAAATGTCAACGTGTGATTTTCGCGTTCTACGAGTTGTAAACTCGTCAGAATTGTGTCCAAACGGCCAGAAACATTAATAAAGTCTGGGGCGATGGCAGTGTGAGTTAGAGCACCGTTCAGAGATTGTTTAAAATTTTTCGAAAGGGGGACTAGTCTTGAAGACAAAAAAGGATAAAAGGATTTCTTCCATAGATAATGATGTTCTGAGTTCTTTGGTCGGTGAAAATCCCAGAACAACCGTTCGAGAACTTGCAGAGAATCTTTCTGTTAGCAAATCGACCGTCGCCGACCGCCTTTAGGCAATTTGAAAGGTGAAAAACTCCGAAAGTTGGGTTAAAAAAATCATCGTTATGAAGTTTGTGCAACACTTCTTTGCCGAAACAAACCTTTTCTGGATAGATTTATTACTTGGGTTGAAAAATAGTTAACAGCAGACGTTCTGGACAGTGGACAAAGGAGAAGGAGCACTACAATTTCCAAAGCCCCAACTCATAAAAAAAAGTGATGCTGACTCTTTGGTGGTCTTCATCTGAAGCTTCTTTAAGCCATCTCAAATTGAAGCAATGCACCAGAAATTGACGTTATTGAAGTAATCTTTTGTTCAATTGGAAAAGGCCGATTCTGTTAGTTATGAGGTTCTGCCCTACTCTCCCTATTCTCCAGACCTCTCTCCTACCGACTCCAGTTTTTCAGGCAAAATTCTATTTAAAGGATATAGACAAGTTGCCATCACATTGGGAGAAGAGCATTAAGAATAATTATTCAGAAATCGTGAGATGCGGTCTGGTGTGATGTAGGTTTCAGAAAACATTTTCTTTATCGTGCCAACGTTTCGATCTTTATTGAGGTCATCTTCAGGGCTCAAAGTGTTTGTCTTCTGTGTAATTGTGCCATTCTTGCGTGTCGTGTTGAGAGTCAACGACACGCAAGAATCGCACAATTACACAGAAGACAAACACTTTGAACCCTGAAGATGATCTCAATAAAGATCGAAACGTTGACACGATAAAGAAAAGTTTTTCTGAAACCTACATCACCCCAGACCGCATCTCACGATTTCTGAATAATTATCGATTAACGGTCACTAATCACCACACATTTCTACACGAGAAGAACGGTATTAATTAATAAAAAAATGTTTAAAATCATTTATTTAATTGTTTTCATTTTATAACCTTAAATCTGCGTGATTTTCGGGCAACCCGATAGAAAAACTATTATCTAGCTGTAAAAAATAGGGATAACAATAACACCTTACCGATAAAAAAAAGACTTTTAGTTCAATTATTAATAATAGGGATGGTTAGGGAATGGTTAATAATACAGTTGAAGAAAAAAAAAATTAAATATAAAATTACCTGTCTCTACGATGGCAGGATCAAGGAAGGAAATGGCTGTTTTGGGCAGGATGCGCTAGGGCACACAGGATTAACTAATTGGGGGGAGATGACTGTGAAAATAATGGCTAAGACACATTATAGCAGTTTGTAAATAATTAAGACCAACTTGACATAGATTTTACCGGAATATTACACCAATAACTACTTATTAATGTAATCTAATGCTTTAATGGATATAAATTGGCATTTATTACTTCTGGTCCTACTTTTATATTTTATACATCAAAGTATTTTAACAATTTCCATGCCATAAAATCTGACATTACAGCAAAAAATGGCTATTTATGTAACTTAATGTTAATGACTGATATTAAATTGGTTACTCCCTAGAAAGTCTTATGTGAGTATATAAATTATATAAATGACATGGATTTTTGTATTATAATAAAAGCCACCAAACGATGTAAAACGTAATAAAATTAATTTCTTACGAGTGAATTCATAAAGAAAAACAATCAACACTGGCTATAAACTACTGAAAACAGTGAGGGAGCATGAATATATTTGCAAGCCTGTTTTAATTAAAAAACTAAACCAATAAAACCCTAACGAACCAATTTTTTTTAGTTGGACACAAGTTGGAATATGCGAACCAGTCCTACTACCATCGCCTGCTTCACCGAATGCTGTCATAGTTAGCCCTGAAACTCTCTCTCATCATTCCTCGCCAGTAAGGCAACCTAGGAGCACATCTAGGGCTACGACTTCATCGGTTAAACCACACCCTCTCTCGGCATCATTCTCTGGGTCAGTATTTAAAAAAAGCACAAAGTTCTCAGTTTAAAATAAAGTTTTTGTTTAAATTGTGGGAAAATTTTAGTTTCATTTCGGGTTTATATTTTTAAACAAGCATACTTTATTTAATTTTGATATTTAGTTTTTATATTGATCCAGGGTTTTGTTTGATTTTTTTTAAAATTTAGTTTGAATGATTAAACAATAATAATTTTTTGAAAAAAGTTTCGATTTCAGGTTACCGCATCCGGGATCACAAACAATGCTTCCAGCGGTTCTTTACCACCCTAACATTTCAATGATGAAAAGACCATCGAGGATTGACCAACTTCAGATAACATGGAGGAAAATGGGTGCCCAAGCTTTAGCAACTACGCTTTCTGCTTTGTATGGCAAACTACTAGTCGTTATGGGAATCGCTTTTCCGATGGCAGAAGTCATCTCCACGCATATTCCACCCTCATTTTATGAGGTTTGTTTTCACTTTAATAATTTTCCATTTTATGGATGATTTTTAATAAAATACAAATTTTATTTTTGCAACAGGGGTTCTATTTGTACCTGTATTTTGGAAGTATGGCGTTTTTATTCTACATGTATGCCATGCTTTTGAAAGACGACCCTTCTAATAAAACACCCCCTCCACCAGAGACTGGTAAATATTGTTTCAATTGAATGTTGTACTCTTGCAGAAAAAAACACGTAATTAAAACCATTTAATTTTTACAGAACGACCACAAAGGGACACAATGTCTTCTAGCAGCGGGGAATGTGAAAGTGGAAGTGCCAGCGGAAGGGACACGAATCCAAGTTATACCGAAAGAGAACCAAGCAGACCTGCAAAACCTCAAGTGCCCTTTCAGCATTATGGCAGCTTCTATTTGAGAATGGGTGCAGTCGGTGAGTTTAACATCCACGTTTAAATAGTATTTTTTTCTGAATTATCAGCATAATATCTTGTAATTTTTAAATTTATTATTGCAGCTTTTGGAATTGGGAGTATGATTTACTCAGGATTGGAATTTGGCCAATATTTTGAACTCGAAAGGAACACTAAATGTCACAATGTATTATTAGCTCTCACTCCAGCGACCAGAATGGCTTTCACATTCATTCAGATGTATTTCATTTTTTTAAATGACGAGGTAATTTTCAAATTGCAGTGCGAAAATTGATTTCATTCTCACTACCCATTTTCTTTCCAGCAACAAATGCGAGTGACTAGGCATAAAGTACTAGCCAGGTTTGGCTTGATGCATATGATAGGGACAAATTTAAGCGTATGGTTGAATGTGCTTGTCCAAGAAACAAAACACGAAATCCTGACATTTTACAATCCTGAAAATAACACCATAGAAGTTCATGCTAAAGCCAACACACATAGTAGTAAGTTTTGTCTATTTTTTTTTTCTCTTTGAATAAATATTACACTATATTTTTTTAGTGTATAGCAAGCTCACAATGCAGCATCAATCACATCACAGAGTTACTAGAGGTTTGATGGGCCCTCATCACATCTACGAATGCAGAAGGACGAATATTATGGGCTCGCTTGTTCAAGACGCCAGTCCATTTCTTTTCCCATGCACCATTGAATACAGTTTGATATGCGCAGCCATACTTTATGTCATGTGGAAAAATATATCGAGAATTACACCTCCAGTTCAAAGTTCACCAGAGAAGATGGACAAAGTTCCTCCGTTTCATTATAAAAGATCCCCTCATCACTACTCCGTAGATTGTGCTCAGGCACACAAAGGACTTTTCGTCGGCATACTTGTTTTAGTTCTCACAATTATTTCTCTGATATTGTTTTTTGTGCTGATATCCCGTCCGGAGTTGGTAAGCTTTGCCGTAATGGAATTGACGGTCTGTGAACTCTCCCTGTACGCAATGGCGACATTTGCAACCATGATTGGGATGATTCAGGTAATAGGTTAACTATGATTATTCCTTGTAGAAAAATATATAATGATTGGTTTTTAGGTTAGACAATTAAAGTACGATGGAACAAGAAATCTCGAGTTGGACAACATCCTCCTGATAGGAGCACAAACAGGAATGTTCATTTACAGCACATTTACAATAATCGGAGGGCATTTTACTTTGGAAAAGAATACAATTCTTGTTTTGGTAACTGCACTGGCCTCTTTGCTTCAGACACTTTGTCAGACCATGTTCGTTTTAGATGCGTCCAGGAGGTAAAATGAAACATTAGAATTTGATGTGACCAACGTGTTATTAATACAAAATTTTGTTCACAGATCTTGTGTCACACCTGAGCAAATAAGGAAAAAGCCTGGTAGGGAAATTGTAACTTTTCTCCTTGTCACCAATTTAGCCATGTGGGCTATAAACACTTTGGAAAAGTCCAGAGCAGAATCTCATCCGATTCAACTTCACTTTTACGGGCTGTGGGCATGGACCATCATCACTCATGTATCAATGCCTCTTGCGATATTTTACAGATTTCATTCAACTGTATGCCTCTGTGAGATTTGGAAAAGGGCATACAAAATGAAACCTGCGTATATGTAAAAAAATAATAATAATAAAATAAAATAAATACAAACAAGGCAAGTCCTTCATTGTTGGTCGCTAATTTTTATTTATTATTATTATTTTTTGTAAGATATTTTACATCATTTCTAGAGAAGTAATGTCTATAATGTATATTCTTTTTTTTATAACTTATGAAAAATGATTATTACACGTGTAATTATTATAATGTTATATTGAAAACATGAATTCATTACTTTTTTAACCACAACTTTTATATTAATTATAACATACAATAATTGTTAAGGAAAAAAAATTAGTTAATGCTTTAACAAATTCAGAGATGCCAAATTTGACTGAATCTCAAAGGTTGTGCAGAACTAACACATTGGTCGAAAATCACCTACGATGTCACGACCAAATTTTATAGTACAAATATTGAAAAATTGTGGTGATAGTTTGATATTTATACTAATTATTACTAAGAAAAAGTTATTATGATCGTCTTGGCGAAAAGTGACAGTACCGTAATTACCTCCATTTTGATGTCCAATTGATAAATAGAAGTCCCTAAAGCCAAAATTGATGAATTGTGCATTTAGTGAAAATTTTATTCCATTACGGGTAAAACCAAACAAATTGTCTTCCTTTTCCACAGGATAATTTTTTTTTACAAATAAACATTCTAATTAATTTGATTAATTAAACGTATGGGGTTAAACAGTGCAAAAATTGTTGTGCTAAAGTAAACATTTTCAATTAATAGAGAATTGAGATAAAAGTAATTCTATGATAATCCCAATGGACCATTAATTTTTTTATAAACAAATTAACATATAAGACTGACTTTGCTACTATTTAGATTCCATATTTTAATTCAACCAATATCCAGTTCAAATTGATTGAAAATATAAATTATTTTATATACTGATCCAATGTAACAGAAATAGGTATATTTTGAATTTCTCACATAGGTTTTGTTATCTAGTGTAAAATGAATTTTATAAGCCCTTCGAATAGTGTTTTTCCATCGTTCATCCCATTTCATGCACAACTTTGGCGTTCCAATCATAAATTGCACAAAATATATCTCTAACGTTAACACATAAGGATAAAATGATGCTATTATATTTCAGCAATTTTTGATTTGGTTCAATTAAAATAGTATACCAAATACTTTGAAATGAAATTTAGAGAACAAATTTCTTTAAATAGGTTGTAAAGTGTTTATGATAATAAATAAATTAAGTATTTTATATGATGTGAATTAAAATGATGCGCCCTTGCATTTTCTTGTCTATTCATAGAAAATTTTTTACTTTTGATAATCGTAAGAGTAACAGGGATGATACTGATATTTAACATTGTATAAAATCAGGATCTGAACAATTTAAAATGCTTTGTATATTTAAAATTTGTTGATTGTGAACGAAACATTTCCAACTCAAATTTGTTCAAGGTTAGTGAAAAAATTAATGAATTACGGCTGACCTTATTTTGGACAAAAAAACCAAAGAAAATTTTTTATGCTTCACAAAATTTATAATATAATTTGCTCTTTGACGGAAACATTACTTTTTGGGCCTAATTTTATGGTGAATTATTGCATTATTTTCTGTGCTTGTTAGAGAGGAGTGATTATAGCTTTTATGCAATGCCAAATTTTTGATGTTATATAGTAATAAGTATAATTTTTCTCCTAAACTGCGCAAATATGTACATACAATATAAGAAGATATGTTATTTGTTTAAATTAAATCAAAATATATTATAATAGCAAGTTGTATTGCAGGAAAATCCAATTTTGTAAAATTAAAGTTTTTTGTGATTATAAATTATTTAAATTTATTAGACTTGTTCATAATTTTCACTATTATTTTTAATTAGTGATTTATTTGGTTGATTGCTTTAATGTTTTGTTGCTTATTATGAACAGATTTAAATTGTAGAGTTATTTATACTGAGAATATTGTAAATATATATAGTCAACAACTTTTTAAGAGCTGTTAGTTTATTTTAAAGTATATATATTGCTATATTTACTATTATATTTTTTTGTAATGTATATTTTTGTTTTGACAAAACTTTTGATCAGTAGTGTATAAACTTCAAATTAGCAATACTTTTGTGTAATGACTAACTTTACATTTACTAGATCATATTTATAAATTTAAATCTTTTCCTTCAATAAATGCTTTGAGTACCTGAATGATATAGTTTAAAAATGATGATTATTGAAGTTGTGTTCAAAAATATGAGGTTTACATTTCACATATTTAAAAAACACTGCCAGAACAGTGCCCTGATATGTTCTGCCAAAAGTTACCTTAAAAGCTAATCAATCTTTTTAGATAAACTTCACTTGAAAGCCTAAAAAAAATTATTTAATGCATATCAATTACTTTAAAACTGTGTAATTTATTTGTAACTAGGGATAAGGACATACGTTATTATGATAATTAATTGTATGCAGTTATGTGTTTGGAGCAATAAAATCCTGGATATAGAATCGGGTTTAAACCATTAGAATAAATAAACACTCAATTTATGTATGAAATTGTGAGTTCATTAAACTTTATGAATAAATGGTATTACTTCTGTGATATGTTGAATTCTTTCACCGTTGTCTGTATGTATTTGAAGGAGGAGAAGGAAATCGATGACAGACAGGAAGCCCTTGACTTCAACGTGATTATCTCTTCTCTTAGTTCATCCTTTCATTCCCTTTTTTTACCTTTTCCTATAAGACAAGTTCATTTTTCAACAATAAATTATTCTCTTGACTCTTTAAAAGACAACAATGCATTAATTTACATGTAAAAATGCCTATGATTATTCTACAGGGAACAGTATTAGATTAAAAAAAAAAAAAATTGTTATCCAATTCAATTATTCTACAGGGAACTGTATTATATTAAAAAAAATCAAATTGTTATCCAATTCAATTATTATAATATTTCAGTTAGGATGAATATTAAAAAATGTAATTTAGTTTAGAATCGCAGAAAAGTGTTGTACTTTCCGTTCATGTTCGTTCCTTAAGCTGATGTGCATGTAGTGTTTATACATGTACGGGTTTAAAGGTGAAGTTTAAATCTGGCAAGAAACATGAAAAAGCGAACACTGCTGACAAATGCTCTGTAGAATATGAATGATGAAAAAAATTTCAGAAAATATTTATAAATTAAAATTAAATAAAAATTAAGAATAATTAATTTCCATTGACAAATGATTGACATGGAATCCTCACAAACAACTGAAATAGCTTTTGGAAGACTTCTTGTCAAAATCTCTGACTTACCAAAAATAAAAGGCTGCTGAAGGGTTAAAAAAAATCTGTTGTGTATATCAACGAAATTACACAAACAAATTAAAATATTTTATTAATCCAAGGTGAAATACGCTCCTGATATTGCGCATTTCACAAAACCCTCTCAACTACTGAAAATAAGTACATCCCAAAATTCACATCTTGACAAATTCACTAAAATCCTCCTCACTGACTGAAGAGATGATGGACGTGAGATCTTCTACAAAGTGATAGTGACAACAATGTTAACAGGTATTAATTAAACAGACAACACTTTAGCACCATTGTAGTACTAGCAATGGGTATTTTTTCCACTCTTGTCTTTAACTTTGTGTATATTTCCTATTTCTCATTGTTACATGTTACCAAAATGAAAGTTCAGAGAAATCCTTGTTAACTGAACTCGACTTAACCAAAACAATCCCAGTAAAAAATGGTGTGTCATTGTGAAATGTAGCCACTAATTATAGTGTATATGAACAGTGGGTACAATCTAAATCTAAACTTCATGAATACAGTTGAAAATTGCTGAACCACAAGACGACGAAGCTAGCTAATCATGAAAAAATTAATGAACCTTTTTTTGTCTCATTTACATTTTGGCTACATTGCTTTCCCGTATACTCGGTCATTCTTAAAAGGACAATGAGGATCTTTAATGTCCGCTCCTGGCCGTTCAGGCCTTATTGAACTTATTTGATTTTCAAGATGAGAGCTGACACACCTCCGCATACGACTGAAGTGTATTACTGCCACAGCATTAGTGTAGAGGAAGCTCAGCCCGAAGGGCCAAGACAACCTCGCTCCCTGCTTGCCCATTCCGAGTGGTCAGGTCCGCTTTAAGCATCGAACCGTATGCAGACAGGATCTGGTACCCATGTGTGCCTCTGATAAAGCACCCGCCGCCCCATGCCGACCCGAGTACAGCTTGTGCTTTAGAGAGGTTGCCACGCCCTCAAGGCTACACCTTTGCAGTTTTGTGCCTGGACACCCCCCTTGTAACCAAGGGTTGAGAGAGGTCACAGGGAAGAATGAAGGAACCTGGATTGAGACAGGGACGTGGATGAGGACAGGAGGTACACCTTTTCAGGGCCCCGAGACTTATCCACATTGTACCACCTGTTGTCGTTGTAGTTCTACATTAAGTGGGCTGTAACTCCCTGGGTGTATGAGATGAGATGGCTGTTCAAGAGCCGAATGAATCGGCTCTGTCCTGACCAGTCATCACGAGTGGGCGAATCTGTGTGGCCTCATGGCACACAGATCGGATTGGGATTGTTTACTCTCAGGTATCCATCCTCCACAATGGTGTGTTTTAGGTGGGTGACCAGAATCCCCAGGACTTCACAGACTCACCCTCTTGGGTAACTGCTACTTCCCAAAGGCTGACCATCGCTCACACCAGGGCCCAAAGACTCTCCTCCATGGAAGACCGGAATCCCCAAGACTTCACAGACTTGCCCTTTCAGGCGCCTGCTACTCCCCAGAGACCGACCATCGCCCGCATTGGAGTTTTCAGGAGGAGAGTGGTCTCCCCCTTAGCGCAAGAACGAAGGAACCCAGAGTGAGAAGGGTACGCGAACAAGGACACGAGGTGCACCTTTTCAGGGCCCCGAGCCTTGACCACACTGTACCACTGTACCATCCCTAACCATTTTGGCTACAGTGTACTGTATTCATATTTGTAGGTAAAATACATGGATAATTTGGTTTTCATCAGAAATTATGTTTTTTACACCTTTTACTGCATGCCAACAGCCTTCATTGATTATCCGAAAAATTGCGTTATCCGAATTGGCTCTGTCTCCTTTAGTTTGATTAAAAAGGTTAAATAAGAATGTCTACTGCAGTTGTAATGTACTGCAAATAAAAAAG